CCACTGGACAAAAAATGTATAATGCATGGCTGCTGCAGCAAACAGGCAGAATGTGGAATCCAACAGGAATGCAAGGGAGTATAATTTAGAAAATATTATCAACCTCAAATGTTTACGACTCGTATTCATTTGGAACCCTTCGTGCCAACCTGGTCACTTCATTTACAAAATGACACTACAGAAAAAGAGCCAGAAGAAGAGCAAGAATGAGTAAGAGTACAAAAGAATATTTATAAAGATTATTTATCTCAGAAAACAGGCAAATCCAAAGGAGGCAACAAAAAGGATAGAACAAAGAAGCGTTTATGTGCTTCCACTGACTCTGCACAGCACTAGGTGAGAATACTTAAAGCCCAGGTTTCTACCCAAGGAAATATTATTCCACAGAATGGAAAATTAGACTCCCATATGGTCTTTAGCATTACTAAAACAGAGAAATCAGCAGAACAAAAAAAAAAAAAAAAAGATATTGGACATTTCTGCAAGAATACCCAGAATCACCGTAATCAAAGTAATTGGCTGGAATACAAATCTTCATTTCCAGCCAGTTTCTGATTACTAAGAACTGCAATAAGCTTTCCAGAGCAGCCAATCTGTCTACTGTAGCTTCCATCCCCACAAGATGACCATTCTCTGAAGCTGCATATTCAGTCAATAGATTTGATTCAGAAAGCTGAAAGTCGGAGTTACATTTTCGGTTGCCTGGATGACAAAGCTCCTATCACAGCTACTGGAGATTTAGTTAATTATCAGTGGAGTCTTTATTTAATTGAGCAAATATTGGAATCTTCTTTAAATGGTTGTTAATCTTATTGTTGTCACGTAGATTTGAGGGTCTCTAAACCATCACTGAATCCCAATTTGAAGATACAGCAAGCTGAAGCCCTAATTCAAGTATTATCTGGTACATTAATTACCATATTCCTAGAGGGCATCTTTCAAAAAAACAGTGAAATTATTTCCTCTGTTACTGCCAGACACAATTTGATAAAAGGTTTAATCCAATTTTCACTTTTCAGAATATAAGAAAGAAATAAGATATAAGTAAGAAATTGAGCATTCACGGATTTGTGTAAAAGTCTTATATGAACTAGAAGTTGTTTACAACAAATGCATAAAGGCCACTGTACAATGTAATACCTCAAAGCTAGAAATTCTACCCTGAAACTATTATTTGCTATCATACTTATCACAGAGGAGCATAATTAAATGTTTTAAACATTATTTGGATGAACTTAATACAGATGCAGACACAGAATGTCTGCGCATTTTATGTGAAACTAAGTTGGATTTATAATTACAAAGGGCACTGAAATCATGAATGTGGCTGAGCCATTGAAAGATGTCATGGTCAACATCCATAGATTTTTTCTTGTTGATGTGCCTTAAAAGTTCCTCACCATAAAAAGCAGGACAAATGTAGATACCTAGTCCAAAAATTAGCCTGTCAAGACCTATTTAGGAAGAGATTACTTGCTCAGAGAGTAACGAGGCACTGGCTCAGGCTACCCAGAGAAGATTTGGTTGCCCCATCTCTGAAGGCATTCAAGGTCAGGCTGGATGGAGCCCTGAGCAGTCTGAGCTGGTGGGTGGAGGCCCTGCCAGAGGGTTGCAACTGCATGGTCTTTAAGGTTCGTTCCAACCTGAGCCATTCTGTGATTCTATGGTGTTTCATAATTGTCTTTCTTGCCCCGAAGAATTTCATTATTTGAATAAACCTGTTCAAGAATAATTATATAGTTAAAAAAATCCAATTTCTTATACCTACTAGAACATAACTATACCACTAACATTGCACTTGCTTAAGACTCCATGCTTGCACACTGGAGACCATAATTTAGTCTCATTCAGTCTCCGTCTTGTTTAGTGAACAGTGAAAATACTTTCCTAAAGGCACCTGAAATATTAGCAATTCATCTGCCATCCCTACAAAACAAAACATGTGAGGAATTACAGCTCTGGGCAAAACTGGTCACTGCCCCATTTGTTTTCATGCAATAATAGGGGACGCTGATTCATCCTAATAGTGTCCCCAAGAGGCAATATGTTATGCAGCTACACTCCTCACGATGTGCAAAGAGAAGATAAACTATCCATAGAGGCAGAAGCAAAGCAAAGTGGATAAAACGTTCAGCAGAGCACTCAGAAACATCAGTGAGGACTCAGCATCGATCCCACCAAACTGTAGGCACAGGTAGAGCAAAAGCCCCAGCAGACTCCTATGTGGCTGATGGGGAAGACAATGTAAATCTCTGATGGGCTGAATTAACTTCTCCAACTGAGTTTCTCTCTTCCTATGGACTAACGTGCAAGCGAAAAGAATCCAGCCCTAAGGGTCTGACTTAAAGCCTGCTGAAGCCATAGGACATCATTTCCTCCGTGTGTGAGGGCAGATTGAAATATGAAATGCATGTAATCTATTAGAAGCTACCCTAACACACTCTTGCTCACCAGGAACTATTTGCTGGAAATGATTTAGCTGTTCACTGAAAAGTAATAAAGAAAAAAGTAATAAAGAAAAAGCAGATGAAAAAGATAAGCTGTTTTAAGTTCAGTAGCTCCTGATTTTCATTAGGATCTATTTATTTACCTTAACATTCCCCTCAGCTTCAATTTGTTTGTAGCAAGAAAGGAAAAGTAATTCTGGTGAATAAGCACTGATATTTAGTTACGTAAAATATTCTACAAGCATGCACATCACAAATAAACTCAACCTTAAATGTGTGTTTAATGACTAATTTTAGGACTTGAGTTTTATCCACAAAAGAGCGTGGAAAATCTTGACACTTCTGTCCCCAAATAGACAAATTGGAAGGGGCAAAAGAAGGCAAAACAGTAGCTTCCACAAGCTGTGGAATAGGAGCTTAAGGTACATTTCTTAAAAGTGTGTTTTTCTTTAAATACCATTGTACATCCTATGGTGGATATTAATCATAGAATCACAGAATTACAAGGTTAGAAAGGACCTACAGGATCATCTAGTCCAACCATATTCCATCTAATGAAGTCTATATATGCTATTAGGCCAAAGAAAAAGAAGGAATACATTAACTACAGAAGGCAAGAGTTCAGGATTATTTTTTTACTTTTTTAACACCCTCCAAAAAAATGCCAAGAGATCACTTACAACCTAATTAAGTGACATAACACTTGTAAAACAGAACATAAAGGAAAAGGAACTTTAAGAAAGGTCAGATTATGCTTTTAAAGACAGAGGAACAAAATGTCTGTTTTTATTTGTAAGGAGTACTGCAGAAAAGCTACCACCACCTCCCCCTCAAAACCAGTGTAGGCAAGGCCAGAAGCATCTTACTTTACCAAGTCATGTTGCTGGGAGACCAAGTTCAGCAAACACAAAGGAAGAAGCCAAAAGATTAAGTGAGATGATGACTATTACCATATTTCACAGTCGAATCAGATGGCACTTCAGTCCTGAATTCAACGCAGCAGTTATTTTTCAAAATGAATGTTAGTACTCCTTAAAGAGAGCACTGTTTGCTCCAAATTACCCAGGACATGAAAATAAACTGGTTTCTGAATTTGTTAAAGCTGTAGGCCCCAAGATTTCTTTTTCACTGCTGTCTTCCCCAGAAACCTTGATGCTAGTTACAAAGAATGACTTTGGTGAACAATGGATGGATTTAAAGGACTCAACTTGAAATTAAAACACCAAACACTTGCTTTATGAAACAGCAAGGAAAAAAAAACCACCAAAATCATAACACCTTCCTCTCTCAAAATTTCATCAAGAAGAATATCTTATTTTGTAATGCAGTAACTTCATTGCCAGAGACTTCTTTTCTTTTTTCCCATTGAAGAAACTACAGCGAGTGAAGTTTAGAACATCAGGAGATGCTGAGCCTTATGTGCTGAGTATTCCCGAATAACAAGTTACAGTCATAGTTACTGGGATTCTCAACTAATAATCTTTGCACATCTCCTGATTCCTCAGCTTTCCTGATGCCTGCCTGACAGCTGTAATTCTGTATAGGGGACAGACAGAAGCAGCTTCCCAGCAGTGAGAAGGACCTTTTTGGAAGGCAAGCCCTCGTGTGACCCCATCTGGAGTACTGCATCCAGGCCTGGGGGTTCAGTACAGGAGGGATGTGGCACATCACACTGTCACCCCTCATCAGAGACCTTCAGCTTCAAGGAGCCCTGCATTAGACTACCTTGAATTATAATACTGACAGCACTGACCATCTGCGATAATAGAAATCCTCAGGAAAATAGAAAATTTGCATTTTAGTAGAGAATAAGGGATATGCAGTTTAAGAGAAATTATACTGTTGCAGTTAGTTCAACAATTTGTGACCTTTAGAAGGACAACATGACCACAGTCTTCCCCATCGCTTCTTCTTGTTCAAAGAATTTACTTTCCCAGCATAAGAAGTGTGTCCAATATTTTTGCTTAATTCCAGACATGTAAAACAATAGATGGCAAGACCTCTGTGGAAAACACACCTGTAAACTTACAAAACTGGGGATTTCTGAAGACCCTTATTTCTTATACCACTATCAGATTCAAGATACAGCTGTGAGGCCAGTTTTTCACATAACTTAGAAACTGTTAAAGTAAGGACATGATCAGCAATTAAAAAAATATAAAATAGTCTTCAATATGACAGATTAGCAAAAATATTATTATAGGAAATTAAATCAATAACATAATTACATTTGAATCAATCTAGCATGCCACTTCAAAGACAAACTACAGGATAAAACCAAAATTACTAATATTAAAGCTTGCTAAATTTTTAATGCCTTGTATCAGCATCTTTTGAAGTAAACGTTACCTAATAGATAGATATCTAACCTTCCAAATTCCATTTACAAAATTCATCTACCAAACTATCAATAGCTGATGAGATATGTCATTTTCAAATAAAGGAGATTTCATTTCCAAACAGAGGACAATGAGAAGGTATTCAGAGGATTACTGTTTTACTGATAATGTTCTACCTGCAGCTTTCAAGACCAACATTATAATGGTTCCGTACCGTGAAGCTGTTGTTGACATTTTTTGTGCTCGATTCAGCTACGCTGGCATCAGACAGGTCAACTTCATCAAATATTAGGGACTGTGAATGGAAAAGAACACAAAAATGTTAAATATAGCCTGCGTCCAATGTGAAGCATGCTTACACTCTCTGCTTTCATTTCCTCATGTCCACTCCAACTGGAAGACAAAAATAAAATGAAAGCAAAAAAAGAAAAAACAGAAAACACTGTTGAGGTGACAGAACTTCCTACTTCACCACCAAATATATTTCTACTTGCTAACTAAGAGAATGCAAAACACTGGCTCCCAAAATGCATACTGCACTTAGGTTTGAGGCAACTCCAGATATCAGTACAGGCTGGGAGAAGAATTTGAGAACAGCCCTGATGAGAAGGACTTGGGAGATGGACAAAAAGCTGGACATGAGTCAGCACTGCATGCCTGCAGCCTGAAAAGCCAACAGTTTCCTGAACTGCATCGAAAGAGAGGTGGCCAGCAAAGGAAGGAGGCCTCGTGTGTGGCCCCATCTGGAGTAGTGCATCCAGGCCTGGGGGTCCAGTACAGGAGGGATGTGGTCCTCCAGGGAAAGGCCATGAAAATGATCAGAAGGCTGGAGCACCTCCCCTGTGAAGAAAGGCTGAGGGAATTGAGCTTGTTTAGCTTGGAGAAGAGAAGGCTCTGGGGAGACCTCAATGCAGCCTTCCAGTACTTGAAGGGAGCTTACAAGCGGGAGGAGAAATTACTTTTTACATGGTGTGATACTGATAGGACAAGGGGGAATGGCTTTAACTAAAAGAGGGAAGATTTAGGTTAGATATTAGGAAGAAATTTTTTAGTCAGAGGGCAGTGAGGTGCTGGCACAGGCTGCACAGAGAGGTTGAGGTTGATGCCCCAGTCCTGGAGACATTGAAGGCCAGGTTGGATGGGGCCCTGGGCAGCCTGAGATGGTGGGTGGCCACCCTGTCCATGGCAGGGGGTTGGAGCTGGATATCTTTAAGTCCCCTCCAATCTAACTAATTCTGTGATTCTATGATATTGCTTTAAAGCCAGATAGATACAACTTTGGGGTATCTACTGCATATGTTAAATGCAGTATCAGAGGTGAAAGATTCGCACACAGTAAGATAAAAATGTATTGACCAGTTATACAATGGAATTCTAAACTCATGAAAGAGAATCTATAATATGCTATCTGTAAAGAGGGAAAATGGAGCTCAAGAGCCACAATGGGGCATAAAGCAAAAGAAAGACTAACAGAATTGCCTTGCTCTTTTTTAATCATATCTCACTCTTTCTCTTTTACGCTACAGGAAGGAGAAATAAAATAATTGCTTACTGTATGATCCAGCAATGTTTGGTGAGATTTAGCAAGTCTGGGGAGTCAGTGCTGCAGGGTATTCATGCAACTGCCTACTCACTGCTCCTTCTTTTCTCATCTTTATGACACAGATAACATTGCCATTCTCACAGCTCATATCTCTAGTGTTTTTTAAGACTCATAAACTGCTTGGGGTAGCAACAAGTGCAGAAAAGTGTAATAGCACAGGTACTTCAGTGCTAGACTCCCTGCAGAGACTACATCTTCCTTGATTCATCACAGCCATACAAGTGTGTAGTGTGTAACCATAGTCAAGAGTCATAGAAAGAGAGGTTTTAGTGCCTCATAATAGAATATTATTAAGAGGGTCAGCTAGAGAAGATGATGGAGACCTGAAGCACGTCACCTACATCTCCAGTCAGATGCTGCAACACCACAGGATACAGAAAAGTAATGACCGTTGCTATGGAACAGCACAATCTGAGCCTCTTCAACAAGGCAAAAAGTTCTTATCCCAGTCATGAGGTGGAGGAAGGAAATGCCTTCAAGAAAGGACAGAAGCATTCCTCTCTATCCACCCCAGAATTTCCCATTACAAATTACAATTGATAGGAAACACCTTTTCCCCACATAAATAAGTTCTGGCAGAAAAAATTCCTATTTCAATTTTGTGTAACCACTTTGACCCCTTTAATAGCAATATGGGCATCAAAACTGAAGAGCTTTAATGCAGTTTGTCAGACAGCTTCTGAGCATTATTTGATTTTTACTTTTTTTGAAGTCATGGACTTGTTTGAGAACAACCATCCTTTAAGAACAACTGCAGAAGATGAATTAATAGTTGGTCTGAATAACCCAAGAAGTTAAAAGAACAGTGTTAAACTTGACTTCCAAATATAAAAGTCAAGAGATATCACGTCTTCCTTAATTAAAGCTAATTTAGCATACTGCTCCTTATAAACAATACTAATATTATTGAAACAATCACTAATAAATCATTAAATCATTGATATTCCAATTATAAACCTAAGCAAAATTGAAGTACGTGGCATTAGATGCTAGTATCACTGAATTACCTTCGAATCCTTAGCATAGTAAAGGGTACGACCTCGAAGCTTGAAGTAACGCTTTTTCCACCTCTGAAAAGAACTGGTTTGCTTCAGTAGTAATCCTTCTTTTATACTTGTCTGAAAAATATGAAAATACATTAAACAAGGTAAGTACATATCTAAATAGCTAAGCGTATAGATCAAAGTTATTAGCTTTTTTTTCTATTATTTATGTTACACGTATTGTATAGATTTCTAACTATTCACATTATATTGAGACTAACTCTCTGGGCAACCAGAAGGCACAGCTATTCTTTCAACAATGCTAATTTTGCATGAAAAACAGAAAGACAATCAAGAGGCATATAACTGTTGTGAAGATCACCACAACACAATTCAAGTGTTTGGCTAGCTACAAAACCACAAATTAAAGCAAGAGCCAACTGGGGGTGGCACAACGCAGACAAAAGCTAAAACCAACCTACGTGAGGTCATTTCCAGTGCCAGTCTGACTACATCAAGCGGAGAAATGATCACCACATAGGCCATAATTTAACAAGGTGCTTAAAAGTGTCTCTTTCCAGCATAGGAATTATGCAAGTTGTGCATGACTCCAAGTACTAAGGTCTTCAGCATGCACTCAGCGTACAAATACAATTACAGAATCATAGAATCACAAAGGTTGGAAGGACCTACAAGATCATCTAGTCCAACCGTCCTCCCATCACCACTGCTACCACAAGCACTAAACCAAATCTCACAGCTCCACATCCAGACCCCTCTTGAACACTGCCAGGGACGGCGACTCCACCACCTCCCTGGGCAGCCATTCCAGTGCCTGACTCTGAGAGAAAAAGCTTTTCCTTACATCTAACCTAAACCTCTAGTTCAACTTGTGGCCATTTCCTCGGGTTCTGTTTGTTGCCTGGAAGAAGAGGCCAAACCCTTCCTCATCACAACCTCCCTTCAGGCAGTTGTAGAGGTCTCCTCTGAGCCTCCTCTTCTCCTGACTAAACAATCCCAGCTCCCTCAGCCACTCCTCATAAGATTTGTGCTCCAGATCCAAACCATTCCGCTCCAAACTGAACCCTGCATATGTGAAGCCCACTCCTTGAAATTCAGAAAGTGCAAATTAGCGTATTTTAGATGTGCACACAGCTTTAGCCAGCATGTGTGAGATTCATCAACCGGATGACATAAATTCTCCACTTAATCAGACAAAATGACACCACACAGCTAGTTAATTGCATGAATCCTGCAATCCATTTTCTTCAGCTTTCAAGCTTGCAAAGAGTATGAGAAAACGTAAGTGCATTTGGATATTATATTCCAAAATGGTCTCTAATGCATAAGATTTCCAATTTGTATTGCAGGAAAGCGATGCAAATCTTGTAATACAATTTCTAGACAACATGATATAAATATCATCATTATTCTAGACTTTTCGAGGCTTAATCAGACCTGATTTAAAGTTCATAAACATTTTTGTCTGTCAAGATGTATAAAATCGCCCTTAACTTCAATGCAAGTTAATAAAAATACAGAACACCCAGAAAGCACTTAAATGTTCCTACCACTTCCTTTAAATGAGAGGCATCATTACGATGAACATCACACCCTTCATTTGGATATTTCTAATGCAATAAACTCTGAATACAGCCCAATGACCACAAAGCAATTGAATTAACGCTCTCTAAAAGGCAGTCCTCTCAGATGAAATATTGTGGATGAAAGTTTTGCTGCATCTCACCTTACATGTCAGTGGGCCAGAACATGGCATCCTGTCAACCGCTCTGTTCGAGCTAAAGAGCAGCAATTCCCAACTGAAGAGGAATGGAGAGCATGCTTGACACACACAGCTTCACGACTGCCTGCAATTTTCTGACCAGGCCCAATGATTAGCTATTTTTACATGACATAAATAGACTTAATCAGTTAGCAATTCATCCAGTTGCAAGCACACATTCAAAGCTGTTTAGTGTAGCCATGCAGCACTTGTGTTTTGCAGTGCTCCTTGAGATTTCCAAAGTTATCAGGATGGGATTAGATGGCTTCTATGTTTGCCAAGGGAAACAATAATTCACCTGCACAGCAAGCACTGATTTAGGGAAAAAACTTCCTAAATGGAAAGAAATCCACGTTCACTAAAACACACTAAGCATTCTAAGAAACATACATTGCACATTATCAGGAATTTTAAAAATCTGGTCGAAGAATATTAAACCTCCTTACACCTTGATTTATTACTTGCTAAAAATGAAATTTATTCTTTCCATTTTTACACTTACAAAAGGTGTAAAAAGTAAGGAGAAACGCCTATTTCTCCTTATTTCTATTCATCTCTTAGAGCACTTCTATCCCTAAATTCAAATCAAGAGCTTCTACGCTAAATCCATCCATTTTACGTTCAGCCCCTTAAAATTAACTCACCACAATCAAATAACAGAATGTATTTTTGTACTGAAATGCTAGGAAAATACTAGATTGATAAATAATTTCCCCGAGGAATGAAAGCACTTCATGAAACATACATCTGAAGTCTACATTTTACCACAAATATGTATTCTGGACTGAGATTTAAGCATGTCAAATAGCCAATTCCACAGCTGCAGATTCCAAATTTGAGCCTCAAGCTTTGGCCCAGTATCTTTAATTAACTTCATTTAGCCTTTAAAATGTGCAGAAAACCCCCAGCTGCTGACTGAGTCGTTAGATAATCTGCTAATAAGGCTTTCCTGCATCTACATAAAAGTCACAACACTTACAGGAATTTAAGACTGGATGGGGCCTCCCAGGGTCCTGAATTTGGGTTCCCATTATTACGTACAGCCCGGTCATGTAAAGTTTTTTAAAAGCATTCATCAGGATATAGCTACGTCAAAAGAAAGCATTCAGTACTTTTTCTCTCACAATTGCAGGTAGAGCAGTGCTCCAAGATCCCCCTGTTCTGAGAAACCTTCTAATTAATCTCAGCTGGACATTAAATCTGAAGCATAAGCAATAATCGTTGCCAATTATATTAACTGCTTGCCTACTGCAATTTAGAAGAAACAAAAAGATGCACATCCCACAGTTCTATACTACTTATCACATTTAGAGAATCATTGCTCATCTGCTTGCCAGTCTCTGGCTTCCCCATTCAGCCAGTTGTACAACCCAGTAACACAACATCCCTCCAGAGGTATGCAGCTAAGACAAAGGCAAATGGTTAATGAGTACAACAAAGACTCACAGTTAATATGAACGACATCACAGTACGGTTTCCTTTTAGTTACCAATGAGCTTGAACATGCTTCAGTGCGAGGCTGAATTAACAGCTAACAATCTCTACTGCTTTAGCCATTAACAACTGGAAAAATGATTCACAGTATTACAAACACATCACAGTACTCCACAGTTGCATATTTTCCTAAAGAAATGTAATTATCACAGCCACATTTTATGCAGTTAAGAAGGTATAGATTTATAGTCAACAATCCAAGAACACAGGATGCAACTCTGCATCACAGTAATCCGAATGAAAATAATAAATGGGATTTGTGCACATTTAGATCTTGAAAAGAACTTGAGGCATCTTCTTTCATATCAGCAGATTTTTAAATCTTCCATATATAATATTTGAATAGTCAGAAAGAATTGGTTTTGTTTCAAAGAGATTCAACTACACTGCCTTAATCCTGATTCACTCATTTTGTGATATCCTACATGTGTGCCAAAATCAAAATTTGTAATTCTGGCCCCTCAAGAAAAATCCAAAGAAAGGAGAAAAGATTCTGAACTTAGAAAATGGTGAACTGTCTGTATATAGTTTACTGGCAACTGCAAGTGAAAACACTGAATAATTAAACATAAAACTCTGCCCTCGTTTTAAGGTATGTAACTGCATGTGCTATTCAAAATGTGTCAGGAGACTGCAGAAAACAACATCAGGAAATGTCTGAAAATGAACAGAATGAAAAAGAGAACAGGAAAGGTCATAAAACAAGGCAGGTTAAATGTAAACAGGAAATTAAGAGGATGAAGAAGAATTTTAAGATCACCTTGCAACAGATGCTCACGCTGAGACTAAAACATTCTTTAAATACTTTGAGAGATGAAAAGTCAGCCAAGCAGTTGCCAGGATCATTTTCCAACAGAGGCATGAAAAGAGTACTAAGGAAAGGGAAGATCACAGCGAAGAAGTTCAGCAAATTCTTGGCATCCATCATTACTGATGAAGATGATGAGTCGGCTTCTCACACAACACCTCTCTGTAACATCAGAGCAGCTACATCAACATTGCATAGGAAATACTAGACCATCTGAATCACTAAGTCATGTGCCTCAGATGGCACTGACCCACAAGTCCTGAGGATCCTGAAAGGACCACTAATATTAAATTCCATTGCTGTTAACATAGGAGAGTCCATGTGGAAGAATAAAACTGCTGAGCCCACACATATCTGGGGGGAAGAATCAATGAGCTTTTGCAAAGGAAAATACTGCCTTACTACTTCTACAGATTACTGAAGAAAGTAACGGAATGGAATTGAAAGAAGGGGATTTTTATAGACTTAAAGTGATAGGAAGGCACAAGTATGGCTTAATAGTCACTTTTTGCTGGAAAAAGTCTTAACAATAGGGTTCCCAAGGAATCAGGACTAGGACCGAGTCTGTTCAACTTCATTGACCCAAAAAAGGACCGCACAGCAAAATCTTAAGATCTGTGGCTAAATTTCACGTAAATAGTAAAGATCTTAAAGTTTTAAAACTGAACAGGTGGGCTAACATGGAGAACACAACCTTCAGCCCAAATCAATATAAGATGACTTGAGTAGGGAAGAATAATCTGATCCTCACTAACATTCTCATATGAACTCTGAGTGGAGAAAAGACTTCTTCAACTCACAGTTGAAGTTCTCTAAAGTTCTCAGTTCAGTGTTTAATCACAGCCATAAATGTCAACTAAATGTTGGGTGTCACTGTGAAAGGTGACAAGTAAAGACCAGCTTAACAAAGATAATAAGCAGGTAGTGACTTTCCGAAACTTGCTGTCAAAGGGGATTGCAGAGGCAGACAGTGTCAGCAATTTAAAAAAAAAAAGAACTATATAAATTCAAAAACAACACCTTCATACAGTCTCTTTTAATATTTTGTGG